AGAGTCACTAGATGATGTTCTAGTTGCCTGCTGCACAGACTTACTGATTAGCACGGGTTCCTTATGTAGGTGTTTTACGCATTCTTATTTTATTGAATGCTTTGAATAAGGATCCAAACTGTAGAATAATCCTCAAGGATCCAAACTGTAGAATAATCCTTGATGTTTGCATAGCTGCAAATATCAGTTTAAAAGTACAGAGGTCAGCACAGGAGATTATGGACCATATCTCACTGTAGAAGAGAATGCAAGAATTCTAGTTCACACAAGAAAGTTTGCAACTGCAGCAAGATTAACATCCTTCTACTCTGGTATGTTAAACATGAACCCATCCTTCATCTTATAGAGTCTTCTACAGAGAAAATTATGTATCTGTAGTGAAATTGCAAAAGCCGCCTATGCAGAAGATGAAAAGTGGAACTGCTAAAATGACTTTCTGACCATGCCAGAAACTAACAGCTAGGAAATCAGTATTTAGCATAACAGGCATATTCACAATGACTGCAGCGATCACTAGACCATCAATATCGACTGCAGAATGAAATTGGAGGCCACCAGCAATTAGCTAAAGGAGGAGGAACTCATCATGCTTTCATGTATACTCACTTCAAGAATGCTTTAGGGTCACTAAGCACATTTATGTATCAGCAAAAATTTTCACTGTCCACATTTCAATATATTTTAGTTCAGTAAGCTGCACTACAAAAAAGAAGCAGCAGCTTAGGTTATTGATGCACTTAAGAGAAAGAGTCTTTCAAAGTACAACATTTCTGGTTCTTTTCTGACTTTTGCCATATCCATTTGGTGTGGATTCAGGCAAAATATACTGACTCCCTAAAACAGAGATGATTACACTTAATGATACCCACCTTGTTCTTGATCCTTACGTAGTCATGCTGTAAATTCTTCAGAGAGGTAGGACTGGTTTCTCACAAAATGTTTTATACTGCCTAGAACAAGACTGCTATTGGTTTGAACTGTAAAAAATCAGCATTTTTGATGGTCTGATTTAAAAATCGGTATTCCCTTTCAGTTTGTCAGGTTTTGCTTTAAATGTACATGTGATTTCATGTTAACCGAGTTTGCTGGTTGTCCATGGAAAACAAAACTGACAAAATTTGAGTTGCTGACATATGAGACAGGTGAAATATAAAAATGCATTTAAATCCTCAAATATGTAGACTTTATTATAGCTCATGAAATGGAAAATGTGGTAATCCTCCCACACCCAACACCCTTCCTTGGTGGTATGAGGGTATGTATAAGATTTGCTCTACCTGACCTTTAGAGGGAGGCATTCTTACAGCAGTTCCTAAAATAAGGAAAACTGTAGTCATCAGGGAAGGTGCTGAAAAATGCAATGTTGTTCTTCAGTGTGGGGCCTTCTCCTCACAAAGACAACATGCCAGTACTGTCTGAGCAAAGTGGCGCTACAGTCTCCCCCCTGCAAGTGATTTAAAGAAGTGACTGGTTGGAGCTCAATTGTTATCACAAAGAAAGAGTAGAGATTCAAGAGGATGCCACACAGGTGCTTTTAACTCTCCTAGTTATGTGGCCCTTTTTAATTCTTCCCATATCTCAGCCTAAGAGCTTGAGTTTTTCTCAGAAGCTGGACAATTTATTTTCAGGATCTTCTGTACCCAGCATCAAATGGTGACAATCTGTTAAGATGCTTCTTCGGAGGTTCATATCTGTTTTGAAAAGGACACTTCACAAAAGAGCAATGACACAGGGTGGGAGGGAATTCAGTGATGCTTCCAAAAGACAGGTCAAACACTATCCTGTTACAAAAAAAAAAATAATCAAAAAACTCAATAAATCTTTAAATTATACTTCTTTATATTTACAACACAACTAAAACTGCCAATAATGAAGACGTTCTCCCACTGTTAATACAATGCTGTTCCTGAGCCTTTGAAGGACCTCTCACTTCTGGTAGCTGTGGCACAGCACACTGGTTTACACGGGTGTCCCACCACCCATGCATGTCTTCCCTGGTGACCTTGCCACCAACTCTGTTACCTCTCATCTGATTCTGCCCTCATACTCTGCTGGTGCTCAGCTCTCCTTGAGTCTGGAGCCTGTGATGCTGTGTTAGCCTCAGCAGCTGTGTCCTCACCCCAATGCCTGAAGCAATCGGTGTCAATAAAAATCTAAAATAGAGGAAATGAAACAAAACTCAAGAAAAGGCTCCAAATAAAATGACTGATGATTTCCTGCAACACTCGAGCAACTTGAAAAATAAAGCACCTGGGAGGCAAGGAGAATGAGTGGAATGAAAAGGAATTGATGGAAAGCTGAAGAGGAGTCTAATCACTCAGGAAAGCACGGGAAAGGTGCGTGATGGATGTTTCCACATGCTTTCTGGGTAGTCAAGGAAACAGTTTTTATCTGTTTGATGAAGGCTGTTCACTCACTGAACTTTGGTCTCACAGTTACCATGTTCATAGCACTTGGCTTTCTCCTGGTCTCTGAGCACAGTGATTGCTTTTTATGGGATGGAGTCACGCGCTTTTCCCAGCTCCACTCCAGAGCTAACTCTACCAACTCTCATTATCTAAGCACGCTAGTTACTTTATTAGTTATCTGCAATTCTACCTATTCAGGTCATTCAGTAATAGGAGATCATTCTTAAAATATCTGCTTGGAATTGAAATATTTCAGAGAAAAATGGATCCTAAAAAACCCCAGAGAATCTACATACATGTGTAATGTCCACAACGCTTATTATTCCCTGTATATTTGGGAAGCCTTTAAGTGGCTTCAGCTTCTATGTCTGGACTTCACCAACAATTTCTTCTGCCCCTTTTCAAGAGAGTCCCGTTTCACTGTGCAGTAAGCATTTGATCTTTTAGATTCCCAGCTGTGGTAAAACAGCTGTGCAGCCTTATGTTATTAGGAAAAAGTCATTATATTGAAATTGCCTCGGGTATAAAACATTGCCTTGGAATTAGCCAGAAGGTGCTGGATCCCTAATTGCTATGTGGCTTCCTGCTCCTTATTCCAACAGCACGCTGTCCAGAGCCATACACCCTTCCTCTTGGAAAGCCCAATAACTCCATCGAACTGTTTTGGGCTAATCCTGCCACATGCAGTCAAGTACCCCACGTTTTATTTAGAAGCCCACCTATCTTTGCAATCATTTTAAGCAAAGACATTTTAGAAAGACCCAACACACAGTGTCCCTAGAAGCAGCAGTATTTTTATAGGGTAGACATGCTATTTCTTATGTTGACAGGTCAGAACTTCTAATAGATATCATGGCTTTCTGCAGTTACCTCTAGAGCATACCAAGACACAACTGGAGATATTACTCCATTTTTTTTTTTTTGTGCTAGAAGATAACACATTACAAACTTGTTAGGGAAAAGGTTTGTAAGACCATTTTTATAATTTGGAAAAAGAAAACTGCAGTTAGGATAAAATCTCTTAAAATCTCTCTGTAAAATCAAAATAAATTTATTGGATGAAACACTAATTTTACAGGCAATTAGAACACAATTTGTTTTGGACTGATGCCTTAAGGCTCATTTACTTTATTTAGAGAAACACCTTCTATTCATCACCATGGTACCTGAGTGCCCCCCGAACAGACACTAAATTTTATTCTACTAACAAGAACCCCCTTTGGCATGTTAGCAGCTGGTGTAGCTGTTCCAGCAGCAGGGTTTCTGTGAACCTAAGTTAAGATGGGTTTATATGCAACAGAATTTGGAAGGGCCTATCATGCTAATATTTTGAGAAAATAACATTATTTAATGCTACTCTTCACACTCCTTGCTGTAGCAGTTAGGTGGAAAAAAACGATTGATGGCTGGGATTCAGAGCAAGGATAATGATGAATAATGCAAGAAATGTAACTCAGCACTGAGTTAGATTACTGGTTTTATCTTTCATTTATTAGAACTCATACAGAAATGTTCATTCACTTTTTGATTATAATTATGTTGGGCAATGTCTTCACCAGATAGGCTGTAGAGAAGTGCATTTGTAATTTTGTGAAAGAAGAGACAGTTACTTTGTTAGATTTATGCTTTTGTGTGTGTGTGCTTATGCAAGTATATATCTGAATATGTCTATATACACACACATATAGACACACAAGAACACACACAAATGCATGAAACCAAGATTAACTGGATGTTTTTTATCTGTTCCCATTTGGAAAGTACATTGATGAAACTAAACATTCTCTCTGCAGAATCTAAAGAAAAAGGTTTTGCTTTACAATAAAACAAATTGAACAAGATACGGTATCTCAATTTTATCAAAAGAAAGTTAAATTCATATTCTTTTCAACCCAAGTTGCAAAACTGTAAAGCTTCAGGCCTTTACCTCTTATTTGACTTTGAATACAGAACAGTCGATGTGTGACTAGTTTCTTTCACTTGTCCTTTTTTCATGTTAATATGCCTTACAGCTCCAGGACCCAAACTAGGATGGCCCTTCTCCTTCCTCCAAACACACAACTCCCATCTGAGCTAGAGAATGGCTGGCACACAGCACGCACAGCATGAAGAAACACATCGCCAGTCTCTAAAAGACCATACTCTGTTGCTCTCCTTCGCTCCTCTGTATCTTAACTGGAAAAGTAGTTTCTGCATTACAGAGGTTTGCTTCAGTGAAGTGCTTACAAAAATGGTATCTTATCAAAGATTCCTAATGTGAGTAATGTGATCTAACTTTACTCTTGACCTCCCTTTAACTCCTACCCATAGTCAGTCAGTCAAACTACTTTTTAATTTCATGCCATTTCTTCCCAACAGAAGACTATTGCAATCTTACTAGTTGTTCACTGTGACTGGTCCAAGGACATGTGGAGTGGTGAACAGTCAGCATCAATACAAAGAAGTAAAAAGTAAAGATAATTTCTCATTTATTTCTGAGTCATAAAAGACCTTATTCAACCCCTCCAGCTACTACTTGACACAACAACCTCCTCTAGAAGGCTTCACACTGAGGCCTGTGTAACTCATTCACTTTTGTTTGACCCTTTCCAGGTGTTTATCTCAGTCATCTCAGAATTCGTCGGAAGAATTTGCTGAGGCTGCACTACAGCCTAAAAAAGAAGCTCCAAGAATCTAATGTGGCAAAATTAATGTCACACACCAACATGATTTGAGAAAAAATTTAATATATGAGAGTTTCCTACTGTGAAATTTTTTGTGTGTGGCAGCAGGGAAGATCCCATAGACTGCAAAGGTAAACTGTCTTATGCACTAAGATAAATGATATGTGACAACAGGCTGTACCTGTCTATTATGCTGCTGAGAAGAAAAATATAGATGCTCAGATAAAGAATATGCAAGGTAGCAAACTGGTTTTGCCCATGGTTTTAAATATACAATTACCTCTGTACCAATACAAGAACTTGGATTTGACTTAATCTTCCAAGTGTATAACTGAATATGCTTCCCTACGTTTAGTTCACACAGCCAAATTAATTGCTGGCATAATTCCATTGAGTACATAGAATCACCCCAACAAGAATGACTTACTCCCATTTACTGCAATCATAGAATGACAGAATCATTATGGCTGGAAGAGACCTCAAAGATCATCAATAAATACGCCAAACAAGAATTTGGTCCTAAGCCTGCTCTGTTTGCACTTCTAGTTCACTGTAATTCCCATGGGTAGCGTGCCTACAGAAGTAGGCTGGAGTAATAATCTGCGCACTTAATGAATGGTGAATTCATGAGATTCCTTAATATACAGGTATACTTCCTAAGCCAAGGAAGAGAATTTTGCAATTTAGCCATCAGAGGGAGCTCACACATGGCTCAGAAAAAATATGGATTAATTTGAAATCTTTTAAAGAAAGTTATTAAGCAAAGACAACAATATTGGAATAGGACTGACGAGCAATCCCAGGAAATTTAGGTCTTATGAGAGTTTTTCTTTCACTGAAAGTATATACAAGAAAGATTTTTTTTTTTTTGCGTAAAATGATAAACTTTTACAGAGTTGACAATATTGCACAACTTAGAGTACACTAACAGATGCTTGGCCAAGTAGATATACTTGAGTCACGTGTTTAATACAACCAACAAAAAAAGGAACTAAAGTTTGCTTCCTGAGCCTGTACACAACCGACTGTTCTGATTACTTTAACTCCGAGCCCCCTGTGGTTGCTGCTGCTGCAAGCTGATCTTCAGTATTTTTAGTAACTTGCTCCTCCTTGCTATTGAATTTCTTACCAAGTTCCCATCATCTAGACTTGTGCAAACAGCAGCTTCTGCACAAATGCCACTGAAAGCGTGATTTGCCATACTGAACTTTTATTAGAGGAGCTGATACATGAGAGCAAAAGCACCTACCCTCGGTCTCAGATTAAATCTACAGCATTAACAAGAAAACCTCTTTTAAACTGGTAAACCTATTTGACAAGTATGCTGGTGAGAACTGGTGCATACAGAGTATCATAACACAACATGCACACACTCACTCTTCAACAGAGAGTTGCTATTTAAGACACACTCACTAGCAAGACGCAAGAAGTTAGGAAACTGGCTTCTGCTCTGCGATTTGTACAAGATAGCATGAACTGTTCAGAGCACATATACTATCAATAATGACTTAAATTACATTTTGTTGACTGGTAAATGCTTATGTACAACAGCTAGTAAAATCTCACCTACCACCAATCACCTTTAAACCATTGAGAATTGGCAACTGAAAATGCGCAGCAACCATCCAATGACTTCTCATACAGAACTTGGTATATACTTGATACCACAAAAGAAACTGCAGACCTTGCTTAATCAAGAAATTAACTCAAATATTTTATTGAAGAGAATTGTTGAATGGTTGGTCTGGCAACGGACATAGCATGAAAGCCAAATCCTCAGCTTCGTAAAAATCATCATTTATAACTCCAAGGCCAGAATTTGGCCAGGAGAAACAAGTTACACAGGCTGTTTAAAGCAATCCAATAGAAAGATTAACCACATGAAAAATATGCAGGGGGGTTATATCAATTACATAAGCTACAAGACCTCAATTCTGCATTTAGACAGCAGAAATCAAGCACTATGTGGCCACTAGATACGCTCTGTGCTTTGCTCCGCAGGTTGTACACTTCAGAGCAAATGCCTGCCTGCTTCACCCTAAAAAAAAAAATAGTATTTTAAACTAGTTGCAGTGCAGCCTGCTGCAAAATGACTTGATGGCAGTAAAATGGTCTGACTCAATTTTGATCTTGTCGTATTGCCAAAATGCACAGTACCGGGACTTGCATCTTTGATAACCCACTTGTACTGTACATCTTGACTCTAGCACTTCACAGCATAGACTTTTTCTTTTTCATATATAATTTTCATTAACCCTTTGCTGGACTCTTGCTCTGGTCCAACAAGGATGTCATACTCACAGAGATGAAAAGGCTACTTTACAGCTGAGATTTTTCATCTCCTGAGCCTCAATTTGTGGCTCTCATTTCTCTGAAAATTTGATAGCTAGAAAATATATTTTTTAAAGAGAATCACGATTCCTAAAACTCCTGAAAGTTTGAAGAGAATTTACCAAATAAACAGACTGACTGTAATCTCAGTAAAACTGGTAGCAGTAATTTGGAACTCAAAAGATGGAACACTCTAGAATTAAAAGACAACTTGGACACTTCAGCTTTGTTTCTTATGTCTAAACTGAACAGTGAAGCTGCAGCACCACAGAGGAATTTTAACATGTCTCTGTGCCTATCAGATCCCTTCTGCAGCACCAAAGGAACAATTTTGACACCTAATTTAATTGAACAGACAGTTCAATAAAATCTGCAATTGGTTTGAAGTCATTTTGGATTAAACCTCAGATCGATAGCTTTTTACAGCTTACTGTGATTTTGGGACACATGAAAACTTGCAGAACAGGTTTGCTACTTGTCTGAATGTCCTCATCTCTATTCTCCGTATGTGATTAAGCAGTTAATTGGACATACAGCCATTTACAGAGATTCCAGAAAACACAGACTGATCCACCACTGATCTTCTAGAATCAGCAATAGTTTAAAGGGTGACTAGAACCCGAGGATGAATTTGGATGCCCCAAGCCCACTTCAAATCAGCTTTGACCTCAGTCCTAAGGAGTCCAAGTCCATTTGTATTCAACTGCACCTCCACTGCCTCTATCCTGATTGCACAGAAATTTCTGTCATTCATTTTGATGGTCATTTTAAAAAAAACATTGGATCAGACAAGCCTCAGCTTTTATTACATGGGTGAAAAGAAGAACAGGACCTAGCACTGTTTTAATCAACTCTACTGATCAAGCTGAAGCCATCAAATGCTGACAATTTGGCAGTGACTGGCTTTTTTTAAGGTAATTCACTGGAAAACTCAAAAGGCTGGTTTCTGTTCCAGCTTTGGGAAATACTGGTTGCTATTGTCACCAAATGCCAAGACCTAGAACTCGCCTGAAAAGCCCAGGCCCTCAGTTTTCTCTGCATTTTTGTTTGTTTGTTTGTTTCTATCAACTTTTTCACACTTCTAGATAAGCAGCCCAGGCAGAGATAAGAAAATCTCATACCACAGCACTTCTCCTGAATATGTACCCAGGCACAGAGACCTACCACTCAGAGCATGACGCTACAGCAGTGTTTGCACAGCCCTGATCACAGCAGACTTTCCTCAGAAAAAGGCCTTCTACGAAACCATCCCAAATTTGGTGACTGGTGGGAAACGGGCAGAACTATTGATCTACGTATCCTTACTTAACTCCATCCTTCTCTTTGGAGAGACTTAACATTGCTGATGTGGGTGATACTGCTACTGGAGTCTCCAAATGCAAAAAGTTGTAATCCCTGCCCAGAGTTGTAACCCATCTAAAAATCTAGGGTTACCCCATCATTGCATTTCTATTCAAACACAGTATAATATTAGAGATGTGAATAGTTGCAGGCTGTTCTGGTGAATGAATCTTCCCTTCCTGTTTAAGTCCATAAAAAAGCAGTAAATATTGTCTAATATACTGGAGTACCTTTTCTTCATTTTTCATTTGATGATTTGAACAAATTTTCAGTGAAACTCAGGGGGGCAGGGCACAGCACAGCTTTATGAATATCATGCTAACTCTGGTTTTTAGCTCCTGCCAACTAAGAAATCTGCATGGATAGGAAATTATAAAATATTACACTGTATACAATCAAACTCATGTAGTCCTTTCTCAAACAAATTGCTACTAGTTTCCAGAGCAGAATAAGGTTCTTAAGATTTGAGGCTGAATGAATCAGAACAATAGTCAAATAGTGCAAAATAAGTTTTAGCTGTCAAGGCATGTAGTCAGAAGTCAGTAAAATAGAAATAGTTTTTTTCCTGCTTTTTCAATGTGTCCTTGAATTCATTAGTATCTGAGACATTCAATCAAGGATTTTCTTTAACTACAGACACTTTTATTCTGGTATGTCTCTGCCCAGTTAAAAACAGTGTCGGGACTCATACCTGGACTGATAAGATCCCAAATGTGCTGGCTACAGTGGATAGTCCCAAGTTTTATGGATGTGGAAAACAGGATTCATTATCAAAATGCCCCGTAGTAACAATGCTGGTGAACATATACAGCATCATAGGACAAACTGTGAAAATGCTCAGAGTGCCCAGAATTTTGCTTTGCAGCAATCTGCTTGCAGCCGTTGATGAAGGAAGGCAGTTTTCCAGTGCTGGGCCAGATTGAGAAGCCCTTGTCATCACAGTGATGCTGGAGAGTTCCCTGAACCACACTGATAGCAGATATTGCCTGCAGATGTGTTTGACTGGACTCTGATTTCACTCGGGGGCTGAAACAACAATAGATGAGCATGAGCTAAGGCATGTCAGAAATTTAATGGGTGGAGGCCAACAAAATAGCGTCCAAGTAAATAAAGAGCTGTATTTGGTCTTCTATTAGTCACAGATTGCTCACAAATGTGAGTGCCAGGGTGTGTTGGGAGGTCTCAGCATATAAATTACTATTCATCTAGCATGAAATAATTGTCTGATTAAATCAAATCTGGAAGCGCTGTTGCCTTTCATCATGCTTATTTACTATTAGTTTGAGGGTGGACAGCATAGTGACTATTTGACAGATGTAGGAGTCAAGGTCCCTGCCTTGAAGAGCACTCAGTCAAAGCACCAAACACATCAGTCAGGTCCTCTTGCAAGCAGAGAGCCCTCCTCTCCAATCCATCACATCCTGCCGGCTGTGCAGACAAGCTGCGGCATGGGAGCAGCTGTTGGCATGATCCTTCCCCATCTGCAGAGGTCTTTGCAGAGTGTGGAAGTGCCAGGGGAGCACAGGGCAGATGAGATTAGCGCAGCAAGGACATCGGGGACCATACACCATCTATATTGACCTAGGCCAGCTGACAGTAGCTGGAAAGGTGAACGCACTAGCAGTCTCACAGCACTCCTAGGTTCTCCCCTATTGCAAAGATCTCCCCTTGGAGGTAATCATGGCAAGCTATACTCATTTTACAGCTACATTCGTCTCTCTACCTCACAAGCCACTAGGGGCTTGCCTCACCTGTAGTTCTCAATCCTACACATCCTAGCAGGATGCAGGACACAATCTTAATAAATACTCTTCCTGGGACGAGGAACTTCACAATGACAGTGTGGAAGTTTTCTGTGAGATGGTAAGAGATGTACCAGAGATGCTGTCACCATTTAAGGCTGGGTTGGCTCTGTTTTAGCCAAACCAGGACAGATGCCTTGTGGGATGACAGCCAGTAAGAACATCCGTGCTAACCACAGCATCCAAACAAACACTCTTGTTGTGTTTAAGAAGGTAGGAGTACAAAAGCCTAGCAGGCAAGGTGCAGTGAGCTGCCATGGCAGCTTTGGGCTATGGAAAGGCAGTGTGGGAATTTTTCAGGTTAAATAATTTCCTAGCTGAAATTCAAAGAGCTTAACACAAAAAAAATACCATATTTACAGACAAGAGAGACAAGTAGGAGGCAAACAGCAACCTTTGGACAACTGATAATTTCCAATCTGACTGCCTACATTCATGCTCCTAATTTATACTTAAGGATCTGGATAAAACAGTTTTATTTTCCAACCCACATTCTAATCAACACATGCTGTCAGGTTCAGTGAGTTTCACAGATGTTCACCTCTTTTCCTTGGTGTTGCTTTTGGCCAGGAATCTTCTTTTCTTCCAGTCCACAACAGAAGAAGTGGCCAACAAGAACAAAACTAAACAGAAGTAGCACCAACATTTAAGCTATGAAGTAGTCCGACCAAGGGCATCCTATGTCACAGATAGCTGTGTGCAGGGAAGGAGACGTAAGCTCATCCAGAAGTGAAGGAAGCACCCCAACCAGGTCTAGCTCCTGCAGTTGCTGCAGTTGGGCCTCCCTGGGTAACACCGCCTCTTACTTTCAGCACACATTTAGCATTAGTTCTTCAGTGTGTGCTACACAGGAGGTACGACCAGAAGATCAGAACAGTCCTTTCTGACTGTAAAAATCTACGAATAACAATGAGGTTTTTCCTGGAACAGAGGTAACATTCAGTAGCTGCTGATTCTCCTCACTTTATCTTCTTTAAAACAATGAAAAAAAATGCAACAGTTATGGAAATGATTGGGAACCGAGTCTTTAAAATTTGCAATAGGAGAACTGAATGATACTGATACGCTGAGCCTCTGATTCACTGTTCTGCTTACAAAGAGTGGAACAGATGCTCAGTCTTTTGTTTCCCAGACATCTGTGAAGATTTTTGAAGTCCCTGCTGAAAATCATATCCTGCTGTTCACCCCAACAAACTCAGAGACGTTCAATGCAATTTATGAAAACTACAAGTGTGCTGCTGGGGAATTTAGAGGAAAGGTTTGTAATGCTGAATCCTGCTTTGCAAATATGAATACCAAAAGATCAATGGAAAAACAACAACATTACTGATAAAAGTATACTGCTGTCAGTCCGTCTACCAAACCATTTTAAAACAGTTTCAGTAACTATTCTTTGGATTTGTTAAGGACACAAGCTGAAAAATAAGCTTCACTTGAAAATTATTCTTTAAAACGCAAAGATCACACAAACCAACACTAATTCCAGCTGCTCCCAATAAACCTGTTTCTGATTTTACAAATAATGACTTTCTAGGAGCAACTTCCAACCAAAGATAGTTTTAGCAAGGTTCTGGCAATTTCTGCCACCACTAGGAAATGCCATGCGGATCTCAGAGTATTGCCTGAACAAAGAGCTAGAACCAGCTACAAAACCTGAGAAACATTGCAAGGCATCTGCATAGCCTTGCTTGTAGCACATGTGTTTGCATGTATATAAACAGATATAGGTAGTCATACACAGAAGTATTTCAGTTTTCTGTTGTCTATCACTGTGGTGCTATTCCTTCTCCTAGTACATGAGACACTGAAGAATGGTAAGTCATCTTGTAATAAAATATCACACATTAGTATTGGTAAAGACATACAGATCACAGGGGTTTCAGTTCTTTTGTCCTGTTAAGATTTATAAGGAAGAGCAATAAGACCTTTGAGGGGTAATTTAGAAGTGTTATTAAAATAGGTGAAAGGACAGAGGGAAAAGTTCCATTCCTTTTGGCTGCTTCAGATTTGCCATTAACTAGGATCAAGGTATGGCAAAGTCCACAGAGCTGCTGGTTGTTGGACTGAGACCAGAAAAAGGTTCTACACAATTCCTTGCATTGAAGGTTAGATCCTAACCCACTGTCAAGCTCCATGGTCCATTTCTCTAAAGCGGCTAAACCAGGTCGAAGACTGAACCAGATGCATGACGCTCTCTTTATTATCAGATAATGTTTACCTTGGTGGATACTAATGAAACAAGGAACGGACAAGTGTTCGAGTATTTTTGCATCAGGGAGGTTGACATTCCTGCCATAAGAATCGTAAACCTGACAAGCAATGCAAAGTATAAAATGCCTGCAGATGAGCTGACTGTGGAGAACCTAAAATAATTTTGCCAAAGCTACCTAAATGGAAAAGCAAAGTTACATCCATTACTAATGAGGGATCCCCCTATTACACCAGCTAGAACACTAACAAATTTGCAAAACATCCCTTTTTAAATTATAACAGTGTGCTGTTCTGATCATCAGTTTATTAATTTACTCTCACTCTAATGCATTCATCTACAGTTGTTGACAGAGTTGTATTTAACAACTGAGATGGACTACAAAGCTATCCGGTCCTCCTATGTAAAAAGTGGATAAACCATTTATGGCCCAATATTTTAGTTGATTTCAGCTAATATATTTTAATGGTTTAAAAACTCCCTATGTCTCAATCTTTCCAATACTATAATGGAGGTATTTCACTCCCTTAGTTGGGAGAGATGCAAACAATGATTGCAATGGATTTTGAGGTTATAGGTAAGTCCAGTAAATACAAAATTGACAGTTTCAGTGTGCAGTAAAATTTGGTATTTGTTGCAAGTGAGTTTATCAGAGTGAATTTTCACAGGCGGGATCATTCCCAATGGTAAATATACTATTTGTTGTCATAATGAGGCATCATCCTCCACACTCACATGAAAAATACATTAAAATGTTTTGCTTATCCTGTGCTCTTTGGAGTGATTTACTTTTGTTTCCATCACGAGGTAAAAAGATGAAGTAGTCAGTCTGACAGCAGGCAGAATTTAAGAGATTTGAGTAGTAGATCCTGATTTGAACATTGGAGGGTGGGCAGAAGGACAGAAGAAGTGGGAATGTCACCTCTCCTCCACCAAGATTTGCTTGAGGGGCATACTCCCACCAGGGAACAACTTCCATGGAGAACGTGTGCCTTTCTACTTCTGCACTGTCATGTAAAAGAAAAGAAATTGCCTATATATACAGCTAATATACTGTAAATTGTAGGAATCATGTGGGAACTGTGATTGGTGGTGAAGGTAGACATTTAAGCAGCAACATGCATTTTCTTGTGTGTTTTACATCACTTTTGAGAGCCCACAATAGGGAAACTTTTCAGTAGTCTAGCTCCTGAATGCTGGGCAACAAGAACTCGGGACAATGAATGCAAAAGTGTTCCAAAGGGTCCTTTTCAGACAATCTACTATTCAAGAGAGGGACAAGTAATTCTGACTACCGACTACATAGGGGTGCAAGATCCCAGCTCCCCGCTGAAGGGAGAGAAGGTGGTAGCACATGAAGGCTGGCTAGGATACAGAGATATAAAAAATAACACACAGTAATAATGCACATTAGGTAAAGAAATGTCCCATCAGTCTCATATTAACTTGAGCTGGAGTACAGTTTCTCAATGCTCCCCGCACTTTCACAGCAGTGTTTCTTCTTTCTGCTTAGCTACATCTCTCTATTGAAGAAATTCCAGAGAACTGGGACAAGATGCCTGTCAAATTCCTTGTTGAGAACAATTTCAACAGGATTGTCTTCAATAAGACCATGATTGTGTTTGTTATGTTTTATAAGTGTTATTGCTGTATTCAAAGTTGCTTTAACACTATCAATTGGAAGTGAAAAATGAAAGCTCACGCTTACATACCAAACTAATCTTTGCACTTCACATAACCTGAGCTTAATGAATTTTTTGTTGTCCCACAAAAGTATTGAAGAAAAATTTGTGTCACATCTATGGAAACACCGTGATACCTTTGCAGGCTTAGGGTTGCACTGCGTAACACTGGATCCGTTAGGTAAATATTTGTCAAGGCCGTATCAAATCTCAGTGTTGAAAGACAAAATGACACTAGAACATCATGTTGTACAATGGAACATTACAGCATGCTGCACAGTATGAGTCAGGCTGTCTTCCAAGGACAGAGGGAGAGTTAAGTGAGGTTGTCCGGTCATAATGCTCTAGGATTAAATCCCAGAGAGCAGCTGTGGTTTAGCAAATTGTAACTCCTTCTTCCCTCCTCTGTCTGCAAGGGAAGCGGCTTTCCTGCTTGACTCTTTCAGCAAGAAACTACCACCCTGTACCAGCCAGCAGGGATTTGTTTCTGCCTTAGTTACTTCAGTACAGCAAACATGCAGTGTTAATATAAATATAGACAACAAGCTGTACTGCCCTGAATTCCAGAAATTCTAAAAGGTAGTATGTTCCTGCAATCCTGGTTTCAAGTAGAGACTGACCAAAACTGAAATCCAAAACCCTGTTAACTTTAAGGGCTAAATGGGTCCCAGTGATTGCACTAGTATATGCTATTCTGCCAGACTGTATCCTTCTACTTTTATTTTTAAATTTGCAGATGTCCCTTGGTCCTATGGCTGGAGAAAACTCCTGCCAATCTGGGATAAGCTAGGAAAGCAATATGAAAGTCACAAAGACATAATCATTGTGAAGACAGATGTCACAGCAAATGACAGCCTGTCTGTTGGATCAGATCACTATCCGTTCTTCAGACTCTTCCCTGCTGGACCAGATTACCAGGTGAGAAGCTGTCGGGGAAGAATGTGGACATACAGCTGCACACTGAGGGGGGATGTATGTATGTGTGTATGTATATGTGTATGTGTGTACATTCGCACATGTGTGTGTACGTACGCATATGTGTATCACAGTGAGAAAGGAATCTTTTAAGCAAGAAAGCTTTGGTCCTTATCTACTCAACACTGGATTCATTGCTGTCAAGAACCTGAATGAGTGGAGAAACCCTTTATCATCTTCTTCTATATGAGGCTGTGGCAAGAGCCCATGTATCATTTACTGACTTGGACCTACAAGTCATTACAGCCTTACATTCTGCTGTTTAACAACCTCCAATCTGCCTGTTGGGTTCTAGCAAGTCTCAACTCAGAGTGAACTTACAGATACTTCCTCATCATTACAGTGCCTTTTTACTTCAAACCATGACAAAAGATTTATTGTCACAGAACTACCCTGTGCCAGTTGTTTCTGGAGCAGGTATGATTATAGCCTCTAAAATGCTGGTACTACTCTTGTTATATCATCTACATTTTCATAAAACCCAAATCCCAAAACTTTCTTCTATACACTTATGCTAGTAATTTTACTTCATTCCAATATCACAGCCTCAATTGGGGATAAATATTTGTTGTCAAGACCAATGATCATTACAATATGCTACCTAATGCATCAGCTATGTTACACAATAATCAGAAAATGCTGCTGAAAGAGGCGGCAAAGAAAAATATTAGTTACATTCCTCCATCTATGTAGATAATCTAATTAAAAAGAAAATATCTCTGAAGCAAAAAAAAATATTCTAAGATACTGTTTTAATTAAGACATTACTAAGCTTTTCATTTTTCTTCTCAGTCCTCAACTTAAATTAAATTCTAAGACATTTGCCCATGTCCTCATTTAATCTTTGAGGGAGACATTTTCCTCTTTGATGTGCACGCACAGCTTCTAATGAATTGAACTGCAGTCCTGCACACTCACACCATGCTTAGTCTTTATGTAGAAAAGCAGAAACCCATTAAATGCTCGTAATAAACATCAGTTTGCCAAAAAACATCAGTAACAACTTTCATTAACTATTAAGGGATTGTTTCGTACTTACAAATACCCTGAAATTAAAGAGTATTTGAAATCTGAAGTTCTTCCTTGTGCACCATGTTTTTATACTAGTTCCTCAACTCCAGATATTTTAACTTGTACTTGACTACCAGTGCCAGGTGTTCTGTAGATGTCTGCAGTGTTGCAGACTCAAGTGTTCTGGCCCTCCTTCTTATGGCACTGCATGAACAGCTGGCCACAGACATTTTTACTCACTACAGATAATCATGAATGATCTGAGACACACTCAAGCTGTTAATACACAGTCACTGCAACAGCTCTCAGTCATTTCCTACCCAACCAGCAGTTTTACTGGGAATTCTCCCATGTATGCTTGTCCCTTGCTAGAAGTTAACCCAAGTCAGAGTACAGGATACAAATGTAGTATCAGAACATGCCAAGGCTCAGAGTGTTTACTGTGTTTTTCACTGTATAGGCACTGCCCCAAAATTACAATCTCTACTCCCTTATTCTGGCCATGAAAAGGGTGATAGAAGGGGCTTGGAGCCAAAGAAAACTGGTATGTTCAGAATGAAGAAAGAGGAACAGGAAATAGATACAGTCCAACACCACCACCTGATGCAACCTTGATTTTACAAAGACATCTTTTCTAGCCTCTGGTATTTTGTTAATGTTAGAAACACAAACACATGAGCTTTCCAATTACCTCTACTGATCCCTCACATTGTTTAAGGACTAAGGATGAATTGAACACTAGCACAGATGCCGTAGGAACTCTAAAGATGAAATGACTACCAGAAGACTCTAGAAAACACATCAAAGTGCATGTAAAGAAGTCTGAACCTGCTCTTGATAAACCAAGGGAAATGTGGCTAACATAACACAACCCAAAGCTGTTTTCTAGAACTGGGTTATCACATTCTCTGGCCACCACAGATACTCTTACACTTCCATGGGCAGAACCATGGGCAAAGCCATGGGCAGAACACATTACTATGCAGTCCCTTCCAAGCACTCTCACCTGATGAAATCATATTAGATACTACCTTCCTCCAAGTAGAAGTATCTGCTAGGTCTCCAGGCTATGAACCATCTTCTTTCCAGGAGACTGTCACTCTTTAGTCTGTATAAGAACAGGTTCAGCTTTTCCTGAAGTTAATGACAAGTCACCAATTTTAGTGGATGCAAAACTAGACACATGACAACATTTTTAAATCAGGAGCCACTTCAGGTTAACTGGAGTTAAGGGGAGTTGGATGAGCTAAGAGACCTAGATCTGTAGCTGGGCATTTAAGCATGTGCCCTGTTTTCCAAAGCATCGAGTGTTTCTATGCTGGGCAACAGTTACAGCCATTGCTGAAGGAACAAGAGAGTGAATTCGATGAATTACAGGAAGGAGAGTGTGACCAGGCATCATCTGAGCTCCATCTGTGAAGCTGAAGAACAACTCATCCACTGCCATCATTCACTCCAAATTTAAGAGAAAAACATGCAGTCTTTCAGATGGATTTAAGATGATTCTATTTGTTTCTATGGATTAAGTGAGAAAAATAACATTTGCATACTGTTACGCACTGATCACTCTAATGAGAAGTGTTGACATACATCCTCAGTAACCAGTGCAGGGATCAGCTGCTTATCTGGCCTTACAGGTCTTCGAGGTCTTAGAAACTGCTGTTCCAGCCATCATCAGTGTCAATAAAAATCAAGACCCATCTGAGAATATTAATCGCCTCCAGAGGAATCAAATCATCTTTCTGAAGAAACTTAAGCTTGCAAACATAAAAAAATAACTTCAAGGCTACCGCAATTTATTATAAGAGAATACCTTCCTGAATGGAAATATCAAACCTGTGTATACTTTTAGTGAATTCACCAGAATGGAAGTGTTTTGTTTACAGTCCTTTGAACTCAAATCAGGCATAAGAGTAAGAAGTGTAAAGTAACACAGCATTATTGGTCTCAGTGAGAGTAAGTGAGCTTAACACAAGTGAGAATAGGCATCTGCTATTTCTAAATATACTCAGGTAACAGCAGACAATTCCCAATGTCATGCACACCAGCTTCTACCACTTTTTGTTAATACTTGTGCAAGATGTTTTTATATTTCCAGAGAGCAAAGGTATTGGGGGGTGGACACGCATTTTTAGGGTACAGTGCCTAGACCTACTCAGAGAATTTTAAAGTTCTAAACTGAAAAGTGCTTGTTCCATTAAACTTCCTCAGAAGAAAACCCTCAGTAATCCTGAACTTAAGGTGAAGTACAAGAAAATCAATGTCACTGCTCATCTTCCTGCTGTTCTTTCAAGCTGTGCAACAGCTGGTATTTCTGGATTGCGTATTTAAAAACTTTTTCAGAACTTGAATTTCCATCAAAATCTTTAGACAGTTTTGGATATCATGGCTGGACACTTAAAATACTTTGCTCTTCAAAATATCTTGCAAATGTTTATTGTTAAACACAGAAAAGACACTGATGTCAGTAGTTGTTAGGATCTCAGACTGGTATTATACAATAATGATTATGGGTTTTATACAAATCCTTTTCTTCTTAGGGCTATACATCTATTTCTTCTTTACACTTGAGTTTCAGATGACATTGGAATCTGCTGTGCCTCTGCCCTCACTTTCTAAACTGCGCACAAAAGTCCATAGAGTTTGGTCAGCCTAACGAACTGAAATCCCCCAGCTGATCATGCTGTTATTTCCAGCATTTTGTTTACAGAGTTAAATACTTAACCTTAAAACTCTTTTCAGGAGGTGGCCTATGCCAGGGAGCATACCTTGGAGGCATTTTCTGAATTCTTAGAAGAACAAAGCAAGACAAAAGCAGAACCAGGACAGAAGGTAGGCATTTGATCCAGACACTGACTGATCTGCAGTGTAATCCAAGGCATGTTCACACCGTGTATAAGCATACCTGAACTGGCTATAGTATAGCCACACATATGGGCTTCAGCCACTGCTCATGTCAACGCTGGAGCGGTTCTTACCAGCTGTTAGCTGGTTTCAAGCTGACTAGTTTGGCACGACCATGCTAGCTGCAGTCATATACTACTGCCTGGCAGGCACATGCTCACTCACATCCTTGTTTTCATCACACAAAAACCTCTTCTCACACTGCTTATGCTTTCACCGAGTCACTATGTTAGCACTCTAGTAGTAAGTACTCCATGGCAGAAAGGGACCCGCACCTTGACAGGTGTAGGCAAAACTTTGTCAGGATTTTAGCTGGAAAAAAGAAGCCCCAGCTGTTCGTTTCAGCTACACCTGGAGTAGTTCAAATATCCATTGCCCACCTCATCCTGCGACATTCAGTGTTGCTTCTCTTCTGCATGAAGGACACAACTGACAGCAGGTGTTGTCCCCTCTCTTGGCAATCTGGTTATGATTATTGTCCGATTCCTCAACCCTTTCTCCTCCACTGTAAATCAAACCAGATAAGCATTAGCTGTCCCAGATCAGCCTGTTATTTAATCCCAGACACTTCATTGCAAAAAGACATACTGTAAGTGAACAGTGTGATCAAGCTCCACGCACATAGCTCCAAGCAACAGAAAAAAAACCTGACATAGATGGAGACACTCTCCACCCAGTGTAAGCCACGGGCCCATTCTGCTTGGAAGTAAAGTAGATCCACAGCGTAGCAATAGTTATCATTAATGCTGTTTTCAACTAGCATGGAAATTGTCTGTGGGTGGAGAAACAATTTTGAGTTTTCAGACTTATTTCCACCAGAGGCTTTGATTTGCTCCCGAATCCACTGCTTAACTAGCTGGTTACAGATGGAGAGAGATGACTAAACTAATATTGGGACACAGAAGTCTGCCATGAAGGATCAGACATCCAGCTCTGCCCAGTCATTGCGCAATTCTGTTTTCCAACATGCAGACTATGTTTGGTGTCTGCCTGCCTCTGTTGCATGTTCTTTAGTGATATGTTTGAAGTAGATCTGTTGAGTCTTACACACAGTCTTTTACATACAATGTTAGAGCTGTGTATATTCTCTAATCTCTTCTTCATACTTTATTTCACATTAAAGAATAAGTAAAAGAGCCAGTTTAGGAAACACTACGCAAAAACATGCTGTGTCGCAAAAGGGGTAAGTAATTGGCATTTGCTCATCTGTTCACTTTCTCTGTCGATACCTGACACACACCAAATTTTCCCAGAAGACTGCAGTATTAGACCATTTGCAGTACAGCGCTTGATGTGAATTCTCCTGTTGGAATAACTCTTCATCGTCACCTCAGGGCATTCACAAACACACAAACAAGATAAATAAGAAGGTAGTACCCTTTGAGCTTGCCTAGGAAAAAAAAGAAATAGTTGCTTATGCCCACCTGCTTAGCAAATACTGTTTTCCAAGTTCTTATTAATCCTTCACACAGTCTCATCTAAGCTTTGCCATAAAGCAGTGTAAAAGTTTGAAAACAAAGCACATCTTAGCAACAGCTGCACTACTTCTGACCTCATTAACAAACCCTCACGTTCCTTGGTAGAAAAGATGAAAATGTGCAATGCATATCATCTTAATTTTTTTTTTTTTTTTTAAGTAAAGAATTACTAGAGCAATTCTTTTTGTGAACATCAGTAATAAGCAGCTTTGCTCTTGCATTTCCTTTTTTAAAAGGATCCTTCAGAGGAATCGAAGAGGATCTCGGCCAAAAAGAGACTGTAATAACAGAGAAAGAACAACTTTAATAGTACAGAGAAAGAGCAAAATTCTGCAGACTGTGGGGAATCCTTCCTGGAAGAAAGTCACTGGAAGAATGAATCATCTCAAGTGAACACAGAGCTGCATCAAAACCAAAAGAATTCAGTATCAATGGCTCATTACGTGTGACCTCTCTTCTGAGTCCAGTTTAACTCCTAGTTTTACAGGGATCAGTTGTCATGGGTTCTTAAAATACTGTCAATTTTGCTTAAATAATGCCTTTATTATCAATAAAAGTGCTCTCATTTAGAAAGGTATATGTGCCATGGCAAATGGATCACAATATAAAACTATTATTTCTGAACAAAATCTAGTTTGCAACCAGTTGCTTTCCAATTTACCCTCAGACAGTCCGGTTGTTTTCAATGGAGATTAAGTGCTCTCGGAAGGATTGGACTAACATTGAAAAGAGCATTTCTATAAACAGAAATAACTGAAGCTACGGGCTATGCCTAAAGGGGCACCAAGGGGCAGTTCATGATTTTTTTTATTATCAAGCAGTAGAAAACACAGAAATCAAGATATAATTTAATTCCATTAAGAAAAATATCATATGTAATACACAAAGTCACAGGTATGATTCACATTTGAGTTATGTTAGGTCCCCTAACCACCCCACACATGGCATAAAAGTGCAGCTTGTGAAACTGCTGGACAATAGTAATTCCTTCCTGCAAGGACCAGATAGAACAGAAATAAGTCTGAAAAATTTGAAACTTTTTCTTACAGAATTAGAGAAGGAAGCTAATTTATTAATATTTCATTTCAAAAGCAGATTCCTGCAGACTTTGTTCCCAGTTTGTTAATACTAATAAGCTACTTTCCTATGCAAGTAGAGGAAAAAAGGTGAAAACTTACAAAATGAAGGAACACCCATTTGAATGGAAGGAGCATTAATCACTGCAGCGAAGAATACAGCACGAAAAGAACAGTGGAGATCTAACTCTCACGTGTCACGCAAATCAACAAGAGATGGACAATTTTAAAGTATTTGACCTCTTACATTTTACAATTATTTGCTAAAAAGTGCAGTTCATGACAGATGGCTTGTTCGCTATCCAGGCTGCAATGTGTAATTAAATACCCACACTTAGAGAGTTAAATGAAATATTAACTTCTCTGCTTCACCGTTCTTGCAAAAAAATAGCACTCAACACGCAATGCAGTCACCTCATGAGGCTGTCAGTTGGCCTTCAGTGATGAGGAGTTAACAAGAAGACACAGAAAGTAAAACAGTTTATGCCAATACTTCACAGGCACAATTTAATCTCTGCTGTGGTAATGTCCATTGGGACCGCAATTAAATCCTCTTAATGGAAGAAGATTCTTGTGGAAGCACGTTCAGTGCTAGATCACCATTCCTAATACAGCCTGCTTGGGTTTTGTAGGTCTTGGACCTAGTTTCTTGAGTGGTTTACTGAGACTATCTGAAATTGGTGAAGACCACTGATCAGATGGGGTCCACACATTCAGGTTTCTGACAGCTGCAGCTCCCTCCTCTGCCCCAGCAACATCATCTACAAGGGGAAAAGGAGCTTAAACCTACATAGCAGAACTGTAGCTTAAAAGTCACGATGGTAGATCTGAAATGCAGCCCACTCCTGCACTTCTAATTGTGAACCATAGCTGAGCTATTATTATTTAAAGCAAAACTCTTCTTTGAAGATGCCAAGGAAAGGTTAATTCTCATGTTTTTAGGATGGAGCAAAACTTTGACAGAACTTCAACACAGTGCAAATCAAATCAAAGTCTCACTTAGCGGCAAGAGGGAAACATGGGATCCCAGATACCAGGGTGCTGGTTTTAAAGAGATCAACCTAAGTTTGCTGTGGGTGGAAACTCCCACTCCAGCTGAACAGCATGGGATGCAGTTAACAAGTGTTTCTCAGCACTCTTGTTACGAGGACTTTATTTAAAAACACCACACAGAAACAATGACTTGTCAATTCAACCACTGAAGTATGCCAAAACCACTTCTCTTATACACAACTGAAGAAGTCAATTCTCCTTTGGACATCAAACACAAGTTCTCTGGGACACTGCCGGAAGAGCCTTGCACAAAGTAAACCTGATCACTGCTGGATATTTGGTTGCATTTAGCTTTCATTTAACATTGGGCATTCATTAACAAACAGAAGCCCTCATTTGATATCCTGGGAGATCAGATTATAAAGCGAATGAGATGAACTGATTCCCAAATAGAGGGAAGTGTCAGAATGCTTTCCTTTTGCTGCTTGCAACATGATGAAACTTGAATGGCAAGCAGTGCCATCAATATATTTTGAACAACTATTAAACACAGAAGCTATAATCTTTTAATTAGTTTCCTCACAGAAAAATGGAGCAAGCGATGTTCAGCACCACCCTGTATCTGGCAGATGGGTTTACCATTCAAGATAATGAAAAAAAAATTAATTTTCACTGTGCCTACCCACTGTATACGAGGCTCAATCCTGAAACAGCTATCTATCCTATTGTAAGGTGCAAGATTACATATTAATGAAAACATGTGCCATCTCGGCAAATGATGTTCTCATTTCTATTCCAGCCACTCTCAGATGTTGTGTCAAGACAAGGAGCCAACTGCAGAGTCACATGCCATGCCCTGACGCATGACAAGAGTTGCAAATCTATTTTATAAAGCATCTGGTAAAAGCCTGCCTGAAAGGCAAGTCTTCCTGTGGTCAAAAGTCTGCCTCGTTACTGGCTGGGATGGGTTGGGTTCCTCCAACCCTCAACCATGGCAGGACGCACCCTCCGTGCCAGGCAAGTGGCCTTGCATGTTGTCTCATTTTCCCTCTAACCCAAGTCAGTTCCAGAACATTTTCCTGGAACAAAAATTTAAAAGTGTTTTAACCAGATTCAGATAACCCACCACCAACTCACTTCCCCTATCGTGCCAACTTGTGTCAGTTTAATAAACAAAACTTGTAATGCTCTCTGTAGTGGCTCCTCAGACACAAGCAGGATTGAGCCCTTCTCATGGTTTAACTCCAGACAGCAATTAAGTACCACGCAGCCACTCGCTCACTCCCTGCCCCCAGTGGGATGGGGAGGAAAATTAGAAAAAGGTAAAACCTTTTGGGTTGAGATAAGAATGGGTTAATATATAATAGAATATATT